CAGCAACGACACGGGCTCAGGTCGTTTTAAACGCGTCTGCATCACCGTACGAGTGCCGCGAAACCCCACCATCGGCGACAAGTTTGCCAGCCGCCACGGACAGAAGGGCATCCTGAGCCGTCTGTGGCCGGCGGAGGACATGCCCTTCACCGAGAGCGGCATGACCCCGGACATCCTGTTCAACCCGCACGGCTTCCCCTCCCGCATGACCATCGGGATGCTGATCGAGAGCATGGCCGGAAAGTCCGCCGCCCTGCACGGCCTGAGCCACGACGCCACGCCCTTCACCTTCTCCGAGGAGAACTCTGCGCTGGATTACTTCGGGGAGATGCTCCGAGCGGGCGGCTACAATTACTACGGCACGGAGAGGCTCTACAGCGGACTGAGCGGCCAGGAGCTGGAGGCGGACATCTTCATCGGCGTCGTCTACTATCAGCGGCTGCGTCACATGGTCTCCGACAAATTCCAGGTGAGGACCACGGGAGCACGGGATAAGGTGACCAACCAGCCGGTCGGAGGAAGGAACATCCAGGGAGGCATTCGTTTTGGGGAGATGGAGCGAGACGCCCTGCTGGCCCACGGCTCCTCCTTCCTGCTTCAGGACCGCCTGTTTAACTGCTCGGACCGCTCGGTCGCTCAGGTGTGCGTCGACTGCGGCAGCCTCATTTCCCCGCTTCTGGAGAAGCCCCCGCCCTCCTGGTCGGCCATGCGCCACCGGGAGACGGTCTGCACCCTGTGCGGGAAGAGCGACTCCATTGACTCCGTTTCTGTCCCGTACGTTTTCCGTTACTTCGTGGCTGAGCTGGCAGCCATGAACATCAAAGTCAAACTGGACGTTAAGTGAAACTTCCAGGAAGAAACGGAAAAACTTTGTGCCTTAAAATTTCTCTGTCATTTATGGTCATCATCAGGTTTAAACGCTCTGACTGTTCAAAGCTGATCAGCTGCAGCAGTTTTGTTTTAGAGGCTGATTCAAAATAATGTAAAAATGATCAGTGGAGAGTTCTGGAAAAATGTTTGACTTTAACCCTTTCAGCTCCAGGATCAAATCATTATTCAATAAACTAATTGATTTTTCAACACTTTTCCTCAATTAATGACCTTAAACAATCTTTAAATGTAAAATAAACATCACTAGCATTGGAGAAAACAGCTAAGAAGATTCAAACTGGTGCAACTTTTATAAAATTTTATTTTTCTTAGATCTAACAAATCTATGTGATGTTAACTAGAATGTGGATTTAGAAACTGGTGTTTGCTAAAGTTTTAAATCCACTGATGCCGATTATTTCGACACAAGTCTAACAGATGATGGATAGTCTCTATTTTAGATGCCAAAATAACTTTTCTTTGCCACCATTTATATGAAGAAATGACACCATGATAACAAATGTTTCACTAATCTCAATTTAAACAAAATTCAATTCAATTCAGTTTATTTCTATGGCGCCAATTCACAACACATCATCTCAAGGCACTTTAC